GTGGATTATGTTTATTTTTGCCTATATAATATAAGGCTAATAGTGGAAAGCTTAGTTATTTCCATCGCTCCATTCTTTCCAACAGCTTCATTCAGATTCCAGGGATCTTTCTTTTGCTCCAAATTTGCGAAGTCCCCGGGTAATTTCCAGCTTTACCCGATCAGCATGCTTGGTTAACCAGACCCATTTACTCCTCTTTTCACCTTGCCCCTCTTCTGAAAAACAGCTGCTCACAAAGGCATGGTTTTGACTTAGCAGTAATCCACAGATTTTCACTCTCATAATTTCGCTGCTTTACTTTCTTGCTTTTTTCTTTTTTGAATTTTTAATGCGATTAAAAGAATGTTTCATAAAAACACAATTGCTGTCAAAAAATTAAAAGTTTGGAAAATGGAAGCTGTAAAATTTTAGAACACAAATTAGTCGTAGTCCCATTTATAAGAAATGGCTGATCTGACTTATTTGTATGCGACTTAATGGACCGAAACATTTTTTTTTAGCTTTTCTTCCTTTCCTATAAATTGATTGCCTGCTTTTCTTTTTTGCTTTAAATTAAATAAACCTCTTCTTTTTATTCGCTTTCTCATTTAACAAATGTCAGTGTTTATTTAAATATCAAATGTGAGTTATTTTTTAGGTTTAAATTCAATTATAAAAGCCATTCAAAGGGCAGATTTTAACTGATAATGAGGTATACTGGAATTCAACAAATGGTTCGCAATAATTCGCTAATTATTAGTTTTTCTAACTATCAATGCATCTCTACCAGTATATTTGCTAATTATCAGTGCTCCTCTTCAGCTAACTATATATCAATATGCCTTTCTAACCATCAATATATTTACTAACTATCAGTATATCTTTCGTCCTTAATTATATTAAGAGCGATACGGGGGCGAAAAATTGTCAGAACAAGCACAGATGCGGAAGAAGAGAAAGGGTGAGGAGAGAAGGAAAGGGAGGATTTGAAGATGAACAGGGGTAGCTAACCACTTCTTGTGTTATCCAAGAATGTTCTCGGCTTGGAAGAAAAATTTACCCATAGGGTCCGAAGAAAGCGGAAGTTCGAGCACTTAGGTCCTATTAAAAAGCGATTATTGCTACAGCATAAAAGGCGAAGACCGAAAAAAACGTCACACAAGAGGGTAAACAAAATGGCCAGTCCAAAAAAAGCGAACAAACTCAAAATTCAATAAAAAAACTCGTCAGCCTGAGCACTGAGTTATGATAATAGACGTGGTGAGAGAAGGAACTGAGAGAGCGCGCGCTCAGAGCAATAATTTTTTGGGAATTAGCACTAATTTTGGGCAGAAAAGATTCAAAATTTCAAAAGGACAACGTTTAGAATTTTGAATTTAGCTATTCAAACCCACAGATGCCAAAACCTCTTCGTATTCACTGTCTATGAGAGAGAAAGGCACTCGAGAAGTAGCCTAAGTGGTAGCAAATGCTAACAGCAACTCCGGCTGACAAGGCTGTTGATGGCCCACTCTTTCGAAAGTTGCTTACAGGCAAGATTATGGCGGATTTGATTCCCTGGCATACGGCAGTACCAATTTACCAACGATGAGTTGTACCCTCGACCTACTTGTACCACAAAAACAAGGGGAGAGGGAGGGCAGACAATGAAGCTAGAACTGATAAACAGTAATAGAGGCAAACAGAAAAATCTGTTTATCTTCGACAACATTCTATCAATTCCTGTTTATCGAACTCGCTCCGCTTATTCTCGCACCTACGACTATCTGGAGCCTTTTGAATCACTGTAATTTTTGCAGAGTGTTTTATTTTATGCAAAATCATGAATGAACCAACTGCTGCGCAGGACAAGGAAG